TAACCTTTGATTAGCAGTTGAGTGTGTTAACTATGTACCCTACCCAGGGTCTCCCTAATGGTATGCTTCATATCAGCAAAGCTGCCAGCCTGCAAATCCCAGAGATGGGAGCGTTGTCAACTGCCACAAAAGCAGCGTGGTTCCTGCACCCTTATCCATTGATTTGTTTTGAGGAAGACTATGGCCCTCAATGCCTCAGGCTTGGCCAAACCTGCCGATGGACAGGTGTTGAGAGGCAAGGAGACCACTATGAAGTGACAGAGAATCATGGCCACAAAGCCTTTGAATGGATGGTGCTCATGCTCAACTTAGAACAAGGAGTCCTTGTTATTCCGATTCAGAACTTCGTTCATTTTCCTCCTCAGCCAGGTCATGGCTGGTATGGCCATATTCCTTTGCAAAAATTTAGGGGTGATCTGTCATGGATCATATCAAAAGGTTCAGGACAGAGGAGAAGGAAAATGTGGAACAAAATTTAAAATCATGAAAAAAGACCAGGCATACTGGTCTGGATAGAGGCTCATGGGACCCCAGCAACTGTGGCCTGTAGTCACCTTTCAGGTCTGGGGCTTAATTTTCAGCCACACAATAGAGAGGTCTAGAGGGGAAACAGTCTTAGAATAATCACCTCTTTCCGATCCAAGGGGCAGCCTTGACCTAAAGGCACCAAGTTCAGTAGCATTAGGAAAGAAGGAAGAGCAGAGGGAGGCAACAGGGAGGCAGGGATGGCACATTGGGTGCTGGGTGCTGAGTGAGAGGACCCAACTGTGAAAGGCAACATTGATGACCTGCTCTGTAAACCTTCACCCAGGCACAATGAAAAGTTAACAACAATAATAATATTAATAATTGGGGCGGGAGGCCAGGCTAATGATGTTAAAAGTTGGCAGAAAGTATTCCAATAGCTTTTCAGACCTTGTGAGTTGGCACAAATCTCAAAAATGCACATCCATATTCTTCAGCGCCTCTGAAGACATGCAGTAAACCACGCTCAAGATGCAGTTACCTTTAATTTTGGTGAACACATCTCCTGCTGGTGAGAGTACTTAGGGAGGAGAGGAGGTAAGTGGGGCGGGGTGAGTTGAGAAAGCGTCCAGAGCAGGTCAGAGACAGGGGCGGAGGGAGAAGGAAATGGAGGGGCGGAAGGCAGGTGTCTGGGAAACAGTGCGAATTAAGTGACGGTGGCTTCAACATTGAGGAAGGACAGGTGCGATTATCTTGTGGTCAGATGAAGTTCATGGTCCTTAGCAACTATCCCCGAAATGTAAATCATGTCGAAGTTACCAAACACCCCAGGAAGTGATATTTCTCACAAAAGCAATAAACTTTGCTTTTTAATTTGCTTAGAAATTCCCAATGAGTTGGTTAAATTTGTCTGATCTAGTGCCTGTAATACACTCTACACTTTCATGAGAGATCTCTCTGGTGACTCGTTCTGAACGTGAAGGACAGAAAGAGTCTTTAACCCAGCAATAGCTATTGGTAATTTATTAGTAAAGCAGGTTGATAAAGAGCCAGCTTCCAACAGGGGTACAGAAGTTAAGGAACTGACTACAGAACTCCACACTACTGCTGTGGACCAAACTGCTTGCCCAATCCCCCTTTAAAGAACAGTTAAAGTGAAGGGGAAATCAATGATTAAATAGTTGCCTAGAAACTGATCTTCACTGTTACATATGTTTTGTGTGTGTGTGCACATGCATGCATGCGTGCTTACACACAGGCAAACAAGGCTGGCTTCTTTATCCAGGTGGCTTTTTCTCTGCTGCTTGAGAAGCCACCCAAGCCTCATGGGCCCTGACCATTGTTGAACCCTAAGGACACCCTTCACTCTGAGAGTTACAAACACTTTTTGCGTGTCAGGTTTGGCAATAGAAGCGCCCTGGCAGAGACGGCTTTGCCAAGTGCCACACCAGAGTCATCCCTTTTGTGTCCTGCCTTCCATGCTCGCCAGCCATCAGACTGGCCTTTGATTTATAATCCTTGCAAAATCATGATGCTGCTTTTAAAAAGTGAAGGTTCTAAGTTACAGATTCAAGGGTTTTCTCCTTCATTGATGAAAACCATTGTCCAAGGCTCTTTGTGGGACAAAGATCTGGGGTCCCAATTCCTAACAACGTAGCGACTTGAAGAAAATGATCTCAGAAGAGCCCCGAGGGTCCAAGAGTACTAGTTTTCTCTCTCTCCTTCCTCTCCCCCACCTCTTCCCTTTCTGTCTCTCTCTCCTTCTCCCTCCCCAACCTCCCTTGCTGCCATTATAGCAGATGTATGGGGCGTGACTTCCTCAGCCTACCATTGGGCTCATCTCCCTGAGGGTAAAGCAGTAGAGACAGGCAGGTCTTGGAACAGTGTCTGACAGTAAAAGCTCAAAGAATAGCTTTCATCACTCATGTTGGGAACTTAGCAAAGCTATATAAATTGTAATTGTTTTACATGAAATTTTAGCCATGAAAGGTAATGGGATTATATCATATATTTATGTCATCATATTAAAAGTTTCCATACAGTCTTCTCCACCTGTAACTTATACAGTGCTTGTGCGTCTATAAAGCAATCTTCTAAAGCAATGTCAAATGGATATTTAGTAAACGCGATTCACTACACTACTTCATCAGGGTAAGACCGGTTAGTTCCACAGCAATTGGGCAGGATTAAAATACCTCATTACTGGCTTGTGCTGGGTTGCAGTCTTCTTGAGACACCCCAGGGTCTGTGGAGGTGGCTACTGGGTGTTTTAAAGAATCCGTTTCCCCCTCATCTTCCTCTTCGTCAATGCGCAGGGTTGTTGTCCCCTCTGTGTCATTGTGGCCAAACCACAGCAGATCTGGCTCGTGAGACCCCGACGGTCTTCTTCGGATGCCTGACATCACCCCCTCACGGATTTCCTCGTCTTCCTCTCCAATCACAGGGAGGGTTCGGGACAAGAGACCCACACTGGTGCGTGCGGAGCCAACAAACTTATCACCTAGGACTTCAGGCGTCTTGACAGGATCTGCAAAACCCCTTCTCGTTGCGTGCAGATCGGCAAACATCTTTTGAATGGTCTTTCCGTGATCCGGGAGCGGTGCTGCCTCACATGGCAGGGCTGGGGCTGCGGCCACACCCACGCGTGAGGAAGCTGGCAGAGGGCAAGGCGATTCCGAGCGTGGAGACGCTGGCAGTAAGGAGAGGAGGGACGAAGGTTCCTCCTTGATTTCAAGGATGACATCCTCTCCGGAGTTTGGTGTGGGCTGGTCAGCTGGGAAGGTTAAAGCACTCAGCTTCTCTAATTCAGCCAAGAAGTTGTCTGGAAAAGGAAGTGGTGTTGGGGCCAGAGGCCTCGGTAGTGGACAGACAGCTGTCAATGGCAGCCATCCGCGGGCGATTCCCGGGTGAGCTCCGTCCCCTGGGCCAGGTGAGGTTTTGTGCATGGGGGGCGGGCATGGTTCACTCGATGCCAACTTAGAGTGAAGTCGTGATGATGAAAGAGAAGAAATAAATGGCCAAGAAAGCATCAGAATACACAGAGAGGAATGGTAGTGAAAATGAAAAATAGTTTAAGCTTGAAGATATTTTGCTGACTTCGAATACATAAGGTCATTAGCACCTTAATTGGAGAAGTTATTCAGAGAAACGCTTCTAGCTTTTGGATGGGGTCGTCAATGTCGAATGACCAGATGAGCTGGATCACGGCGATTACTGAGACAAAACCCTGAGAGATCTAATTTAATCGTCTGCCCCCCTTAAACTCAAGTTCCACACACCAATTCATTACAGCATAGATGACTCTGGGCCCATGGGTACAGAGAAAATTAATAGCTGTGCTTTTTATTGCCCGGATTTGGTTACTATTGGTTACTACTTGCTGTGGTAGCACCAATTCTTTGCAGCTGTCATGAATTTTAACCGTATGTTTGTAAGGTGATTGTAACATATGGTCTAAAATATGTTAGAGAATTTTACAGTGACAAAATGAACAAGTTCTGAAGATTTTCTTTTTAAAGAACAGAAATCTATGATCAGAAGGAAAGTGAACTTTGACAACTGCCACTTCAAAGTTAAAAATATTAAAGAAAATGTTAACGTAGCGAGGAAACATAATGATGTCAATGGGCCTAAACATCTGCTAAGATGCCCATTCACTATTTGATTTAATTTATGAAGCATAATCTCCTAAAATAAAAATAGGATTCTATACATGTTACTATTATTGATATATTTTGGAACTGTTAGTCAAAATGGTAAATTTATGCAAGTCCATTAAAAGTGGTTCTAGAAATACCCTAGTAATGTTCTAACAGGTCTATGTCATGTTGCCGGATTAGAAAGAATGTTACATGTTTTACACACAAAGGACTTGAGAGATTGATGAATGACTTAGGCTTGAAAAGAAAAAAATAATCATCAAGAAGGAATTTAGTCGATTGTTTGGGATGCTATTTTGCACACGTGGTAAAGACTCCTTGGCTCTTAGGTACATCACTGCACTAAAGAGGACATTAGTGCATACCTCATCTGACTTTTAACATCTGTGTTAAAAGAACAAGACATTGGATTTACTTAGCTGTGTTGTTTTTTCTTTAAGTAGTATGTCATCATGCCACAGGATACAATGTCACAGAGTGTCACAAAGCTCATTTGAATATCTGAATACAGATTATGGACTAAAGGTTGCTTATAACTTGATAGGAAGGGAGGCTGTGCCATTTTTTTTTTTTTACACTGGTTTGAGACGCTTCTTAGCAAACCCTGAGATGTGACTTTGGTAACCAGTTAGAAATTATCCATGTCTCATTTGGAAGTCTAGAGAATTTTTCTTGTTGGCTAGAGTTCTATGTTTTATAACACAAAGTTTTTGTTTTGTGGATTTTGAAGTCCGTGGAATAGGCAAGTATTCACGATGATTACTTTTTCATTTTCCATTTAAGCCATGGGCAGGTGTGTTGTGTGGATGAAGAAGGAAGATTTTAAGGTCTGATAGCTTCATTAGTATGACTATCACTCTTACTACCTGCAGCTACTATACTATACTATACTATACTATACTATACTATACTATACTACTCCTCTCGCACCAGGACCACTGTTGTCACCAATGTACCTGTGAGCAGGTCCAAAGCACTCAGTTGTATGATGAACTTGTATTTACTGAAGGCCACAGTAACTATTCAGTAATGCTTTATCACCGAAAGGTGTACCTGTAACACTAAAATTATAAAATGACTTTCTTCCAAAAGCAGTAGAATTGGATTTTACTGTGCTATAAAAATAGAAGGATCAGCTACGGTTCAATTGACGCCCGAGTTTCCTCTAACACAGAGATCAAGAAACACGATGATGGAATGCCAAAGTGAGTCACAAATCATTTCAGGAGCTCCTTCTGCTGTTAGCAAATACCGCTAAAAAACAGGATACGTAGAAGTGGGAAACTTTTAGATGTCACCCTTTAGAAAGTACATGTAGATAAAAAATAATTAGGTTTAATGCTATTAGGAAGGATTGGCCTTTCAGTGGGAATTATGAGTTGGGATAGAAACTTTCCCCCAAAATGACAGATTTAAATTTTTTGACTAAGTCTTTTAGTAACTAGTAACTTTTACCCAAAAATTATAGATTTAAGTGTTTTTTTGACATGTTTTCCTCCAACAGTGATCATAAAACTAATTCAATACGTCTCACATGTATACATTTCTCTATACAATCCCAAATCTGCTATTATAAGAAAAAAATCTGGGAAACTGAATATACAGGTAAGTTAGATGTATTTTAACTTATATTTTAAAAGATCATAACTAAAATATTCTAATGCCCTACTTAAACTTTTTTTTAAACTTACAGTTCCATATTTTTGAGGTCAATTAAAATGAGAAAGAAATCCCTAAATTCCATCCATAGAGAGAACAGATAGAGTCTAATTCAACAGAGAATTAAGAAAAAATTCACATTGCGAGTACAGAATGTAGAATGGCTGATTCTAATCAACCAATTAAAGAAACAAAGTTCTTTTCAAAAGGATATTGAAAAGAATGATTCTCTTTAGCTACGAACTGAAATGGGACAGATGAACTGGTGGATTACTGTCCTAAAAGTAATCATTTTGAGAGCTTTTAGTAACTCATGGCTTTTTCATTCAAATGAACAAACAACTGACTTAAAGATCTCCATTCAAAACTTTCGCTTTAGCTCCCCCTTTATATAAAGAATACTGTGACTTTTCTGGAATTTTATCACTCTAATGTGTCATTGAGCTATCCCATTGTGTCTAAAAATATCTTCAGAAAAGAACCAAGCTCCAGAAGAAATATCAAGTATTCAAAAAGAAATCATCCATCCAGAAGCACATATATATATATATATATATATATATATATATATATATATATACACACACATATATATATCATAAAAGTGTTTTGTGTAACTAATAGTTTTTATTTCTTTTTACAAAGTTTATCACGAAAATGAAATTAGTAAAATCAAGCATTTAATTTCTATTCTAGTGCCAACTGATGAAAAATAAAATTGCATTTCCATGATAGGGTACTCACACATTAAGTAAGATAAAAGTCCTTTTCTTTGCCATAGAAAATGGGGAGCTAGTCTAATGCAGTAAAACCATATACTGGTGATCTTACTACAAATCTCAAAGTTAATAATAAAATGGTAGACTAGCTTCTTACCTTGTTTGAACTTAAGCTGTGAATTCTATCACTAGAGTAGCTGTGGGGTATTGGAGGCTCCGGGTAGTCCTCAGCACCTTGTGTTGTGTTCTTTTTGACAACTTCTACGTAGGAGACAGGGAAGATGCCTTGCCTGTTGGTTCCTGGAACTTTACCTTCATACCAGTTCTGGTCGACTCTTTTAAGAAGAATAACTCTATCGCCCTATAATGAAGATTAAGAATATGCATTATAAACAGAGAAGTAATAACCTACAAAATAGAGTTCCCAATGGTTTCTAACATACACTATCCCCTCCCCCCCTTCATTTGGGAAAGGTCTTATAACTCCACTTGTTGAATCAAAGGAATGCATGTAAGGTTTCTGAATGTATGTTCAAAGGACAGATCATTAACATATATACAATGCATTCATCCATTCACAGAACACAGGGAGACTTGGCTAATTGCGGATGGGCTTATACATATTCAAGCTGGGGCTGTGTGAATTGACTTGTGGAAGCTGTCTGAAAATGGAAATGGTTGAGCAGGAAATGCCTCAATGACAGAATTTTATCACTAATAGATTTAAGGACGTGGCCTTTTTTTGGAAGAACTCCAGAAAAGTGCATCCCCGTTTACTGTGATGGTGTGACTACAATGTGTTTCAGAAATCAACCTGCAGAAGGGAAGAGGTTGGACAGCCCATCATTACTCTGTTTACTTTGCTGACGCCCACCGGATGGGCGGGGAAGCAAAGATGTCACTTGTGTTCATCCATACTCGGGGCCAGGTTGCACATCTAGCTGACCTGCCCCAGCACGGTGCGACCCCAGCATCTATTGTGATGATTTGGTAGTTGTGTCAAATGGACCACTGCATTTCTGAGCAGCACTCCTGACTTTTGTCCTAATAGAACAGTCTACAGTTCCTATTTCTACTACCTGCAGGAGTTACTCCAGTGTGGTATGTACGGCCCAGTGTCAATTTTAACTCAAAATCACACGTGACCCAGAAATCAATAAGCACAATGGGGTTAAGCATCAAAAACTCTGCAGCTGCTTTCAGAAGGTGATGCGAAGTTCAGACCGAGGCACCAACAGGGTGGTGGAGGTGGTCCACTATCAGGAACTTCAGCACATTCAAGGGTAGCATTGACACACCTGGCTGCTTTTGTAAACATACTGGGAAGTTTATTTAGCCTGTCCCACCACCACTGAGCAGAGCACACTGAAGAAAAGCGAGTCTCTCTAAAGTTGACGGTGCATGACCTTTCTCTACAGCACGCCAAGACCCGCTTGTTGCAACAATTTGGTAGCTGCAATGTCTATGTCAAGTATGAAACGTGAGGCGGTCAAATACTGCGTGGCTGTTGGCTGAGGGGGTGCTGGTGCCTGAAGGTAGAATTGAGTCCGTGCTTGATGCGGACGTAGGCCTAGAAGGTGGGGAATGAGAAGGAGGGTCTATCAAGGCCGGAACAGTGGTATTTCCCTCACCACACCGGGCGAAGGACTGCACAGGGAAGATACTGGGACTACTGAATATTATGATCTGTCTGGGATGTGTGCAGACAATGTTGTTATCTAAGCCCCATACATTTTAGCAAATCATAATAAATAATAGTAAGTTGCTCAGTCATTCTCAACTGTGCGAATTAGCAAGTCGAAGGAGTCCCTTTTGGCATTAAGAGGTGATATGGAATCAGAAGGGTCTCTGCTGGAATGGGGGTCACTCCTGCTGCCTCGGGGAGGCCGACGGAGGGCACAGCCCCGCTCTCAGGGCTGCTCCACGCGGACGCATCGTCAGGACCTCTCAGAGCCATTCCTTGATTCGGAGATAAGTTGAATGTCAGCAAGGAGACTATCATTTAAATTTTTTTTGAATAATAAGGTAGCAGAATGATATTTTGATGTACATCAAAGGGCTTTCCCTTTTGATGCTTCCACGGATATCCACTCCAGTTGCTGTGGCGTCATCCCTGACTCCTGACAGCCCGCGTGTGTCGCGTCAGAGTGGAACTGTGCGTCACAGTGTTGCCAATGACTTATTTTTGGCTTTGTTTTCTCCCTTTTTGCAAAGGAGATCACTGGGTTCTTCATGCTCAGGGGGCTCTGGGTGGACTTGAACCTCCCAGTGTGCTTCGCAGCCAAGCACATTGACCACTGGCCCCACCGCTCCTCCCCACAGACACCTCTTTGGCATTTTGCTGGAGGGATCCTTTAGGATGGAGAGTGTTAAAGCCAGCCTCCTGTTTCCAGGATAAGCCACAGGCAGAAATTCTCTCAGGGCAATTTTGTGCATCCCCACTTGCAGTCCCACATCAAGAGAACCGTGCTCTGCAAAGACATGGGCAGGTAGTTCATAGCTCCTCAGCTCTGCATACGGAGTCCTTTGCTGCAAAGGGGGGAACCCAGTAATACCGAAGGAAGGAAAAAATGTGCTTCCGTTTTGAACCTACCCAACCTTTCCAGGGCAACAGCTTGGGAGATGGTTGTGTTACCTTTCTCAGAGATAACTCCACATTTGTGTCTGCGTTGAAGTTGTATTTGGCTACCGCTTCTCCGATTTCTCCAGGCTGTGCTGGGGGAGGTGGTCTCGCAGGCTGGGCTTTCTCAGGAGGTGTGAGTTTCTAGCAAAGAAAGCAGTTCTTAATTCTAGACTCGGTGGTACCCTTTGAAATGACCACCCAAGAGGGTCAAGGAAACGGCTTACCTCCACGTAGGAGATAGGAAAGATGCCCACTCTCCCGTAGTGCTCTCCCTCGTACCAATTCTGATCAATTTTCCTGAGGATGTAGACAGTATCTCCTTTCTTAAATGACAGCTCCCTGCAAGAGACATGCTTAAAGAGTCATCTGCTTGATGCATAGCAATTAATCTTAATTAACCTGCGCCCCATTTTTTATTTGGAAACATTGCATCTCAGAATAAAAGAACAATACAAAACTCCTCTGCGCATTTAAATCGATGTTTTGCTTACAACTTCCCAGGCTTTACTTGTAACAATGCAATTTTAGAAATGATTTCAAAAAAGGGTAACTGTAAACATTACATTGACTATAAACCAAAGGCAGATTCATATGAAATGTAAAGCAGGGTACAGGCTATTGCTCTCTGGTCACTGGTTTGTAAAAGAGGGACTTTGAAGGTGGCAAAATGATGGCTGGTTCTGCCCCTATCACCCACCCCCAGGCCCCACCCCTCCCTCCCACTTTTTGTCCTGAGGCTAGTTCCAAACCTAACCACACACATTGTCATTCGCTGATTCCAACCCATAGCAATTCTAAGGGTAGAACTGCTTCTTGGGGCTGTGAAACTTTAAATCCTTATGGGAGCAGAAAGCCTCATCTTTCTCCCACAGAGCGGCTGTGGGGTTCAAACCACAGACTTTGTCATTAGCAGCTCAGTGTGTAGGCTACAATGCAACAAGGGCTCTTTCTATCTCTCAAGCCCTCTCCTTCTGATAGCAGACAGCAGTCAGGCTCAGAAATGCCAACACTAGAAAAATTATTAGTTATGGATCCTTGAAGATGGTTGACAGGTATTTCAAGAAACCATCTAGATAGGAACTTTATTTTGTGCAATACAAAAAAAATCTCATACTTTTCAACAGAGCACAAAAATAGACATGCTTTAAATGCCAAGACAGATGCACACTGCTTGTTAACTTCTTGTGTCTTCTGTTTGTTTCAAATTAAAATGCTGTGAAAGCACTGTGTTTTCCCAGTTTGGCTGTTTCTGAAGAAGACAGCAGGCCTTTGGATGACTATACATGATATCGTAACTCATAAGAACACTACTCTTATTGAAAAATTCATGACCAAATTCTCCCCTGCTCTACGTCAGTTTTGATAGCTTCCTCAACCTGCAATTGTGTCTGTGCCTGATTTGACTCCACTGCCATTCTTTGTAGGAGGACTTAATTTAGACCCTTTCCCAGAGCTCCCAGTTCTTACATAATGTCTTCCTTTCCTGAACCTTCTCCACTGTTTACTTTAGAATCTTACGTTGAATCATTTACCAGTGCAGAATATGCAATGGAGACAGTATTCATATCAGATATAGCATGTCTCATATTGATTGGAAAACTGTAGCACAGGAAAAAAATCAGTTGTTATTCCAGTTGATTCCGACTCATGTCAACTCCTTATCTTTCCGAGTAGAACTGTACTCCAAAGGGCGGTTGCCAGACCTCTCTTCTGAGGTACCTCTAGATGGATTTGAACTGGTGACCTATGGATTCGGAGCCATGTGCTCGATCCTTTGCTACCCAGGGACTCCTGTTGTGCATTCAGACGAGCTAAAATTTTCACAATGAAAGTGCATTAACTTTTCAGTTACCCTAAGCCCCTAGTGGCAAGGTTGGGTAAATGCTAGACTGTTAAATGCAAGTTTCATGGTTCAAACCCACCAGCAACCCTGAGGGAGAAAGATGAGGATCTCTGCTCCCATAGAGATTTACAAAGCCTCAGAAACCGTATATAGGGTCTCTATGAGTGGGAACAACTCTATGCCAGTGGTTTGGCTTAGGTTAAAGGCAAAGAGATTCCCTGGTAGTGCCGTGCTTAAAGAGCTCTGTTGCTAACTGATAGACTGGTAGATCCAGCCCTGCAGCCCTCAAGGGGATGGAGACCCAGCAGTCTGCCTCCAAGAAAGATGTACAGCCCTGAAAGCCCATGGGCATGTCCACCCTGTCCTCTAGAGTTCCAACGAGGAGTTGCAATCGACTCCACAGTGAGTTAGGGCAAATGCCTGACTTAAAAAACTCAATATAAAACAAAGCAAAGCAAAGTTTTGTAATCCAAAATAGTTTTACTTGCTCTGGGTATATTTTGTGTTGGGAAATGAGAAGAGGTTTATTATTTGTGGCTATGTAAATTAGAGATGATTAATATTTTTTCCCTTTCAAATATGAAAAGCATCCTTTCCATTTGTATCAGATTACGTTGAACATTTTGAGGTCATTCAGAGAAAGGAAAATAATCTTACTCTTCAACTTTCAAAGCTGTGGCCCCCTCACCTCAGAGGTAGAAGAATTTCTAAGTGCCCTAAGTTAATACATTTGCTTTTATAGATTATTACTATTATTTTCATTTAGGACAGTAGCATTTTGAAGATGATATTTTATCACTTTATCTTATTTAAAAATTAGGATCTTATGCTTACTAAAACTGCATGAATTAAATGAAATTTTGTGTTTGGTAAAGGAAATAGCTTTTAAAGCAGGCAGGCATTGAAAACAAATACACCTTCTCATATTCACAAGGTGTTAGGTGCGAAAAGCCTTTACAGCTAACTAAGTATTAAGTGAAATGCATTTTCAAAATGTGGCTTTGGCTTGCAGTCCTTTAAAGCTTCCTAAAATGCCCATCATCCTGAGATTTTTGTGTGTGTCCAATACACAACTCCACTGAGGGTGATGAGCAACAGCGATTCGCATCTCCGAAAGAAAACATCCGAAAGGGAAGAAAAAACGTCATTAAGTTAAAATGAGAAGGATGCATTTACGATCTGAGGGAAACAGGTTTCCGTGACAGTGGTCGAATCTCCTTCCCTGAAGGCTGGAACAGGGAAGATTTTGGGGGTAGTTGTTGGTTTAGAAAGATTTAGCGGTGAACTTTGTGATACCTGGCAAGAGGTGGCCAGAACCTTCTGGGAGGCTGTGCCGCCTGCCCTGCCCTGCAGGCGTGGGGCCTGAGGGGGAAGGGCTTAGTATTGGGAATCGACGGACCCCAGGGAGGCCAGCCACCCCCTGTCCATGGCTTCATCTCTCTGCTCCAAGCGTGGTTTTGATTGAGGCGTCCCAAAAGTCCTGTGAGCCCTGGGCGCACATCCGCCTTGCCGTTTCTTACACCTGCCGTTGCTCAGAGTTCCGTGCACTGAAGCGAGCTTTTGAGTGATGGCGCAGAGGGCGCGGCCGGGCCGTGTTGTGTTAGGGGCCTGCGATGTACCTTCTGCACGTCCAGAGGACGTGGCTTAGCGCGGGAATGAGCAACCACAGCGCGATTGCTTCTCTGCCTCCCGAAGAAGACAAAGGCTTTTCTTAGACTCACAGCCATGAGTCACGTCTTCATTTCTAAATAGCATTGTTTTTTGCACTTATTTCAGTAGCATTACTAGATTCTACTGAGTTTAGGTTTTTAGCTGTGTCCCCCTCCCCACATCCCCACCCCTTTCCCTGCCCGGTGGAATTATTCATGCATTTAAATTTTGATTAATGAAAGGTTTTCTTGTAAGACGTATTAGTTTAAACGGGACAACATCATTAGTGTCCATTTAGAAGGAAGCTGATTGAGATTTTGGAGTGCACGATGTGTGGATTATATGCCAATAAAATGGTAAAAAAATAATAATATGAGGATTCTAATTGTTTTTTGTTTTTGTTTTTAAAGGAGGAAACCAATATCCCGAGCCCTGATGGAGATGAGAGTTTCTTAGAGAAGGTTGATGCACACGGACTACTACCGGTCTGGAAGGTTCTCTCCCACGCAAGACGGCTCGCGCGGTTGGGACCTTAGCCGAGCGCGTAGTTAGTAGATGGGCTCTTAAAGACCGGAGGAGGAGGAGGGGTCTGAAAGCACCCACGTCAAAAGACCGTGGGATGAGAGAGGATATTGGCGGGGAACCTCTGAGCTCGGACTGTGGGCACCGGATATTTTACTGTGGGACCCTTGGTGGGCAGCGTCCTGGTCCTCACGCCACAAGCAGTGCTTGATGTTGGCGGGTAAGTAACTGTCGGCTTCCCCGTGAGTGTGAACCGGTCCCTGACAGCTAATTTCCACTCCATGCTTGATAGGAGAAATCCTAGCCTTTGAACTCATTGCACACAAATACCTTCAATGAAAATTTAAATGTAACATGTCCCAAGTAAACTCAAAATGAAAATAAAATTAGCGCTATGCCAATTAATCTTGAAGGATCTATTTCATTAGAGCATATTGTGGAATTGGGAAGTGGGTCTTATTGAGAGCCCCTCCCGCTGCAGTATTCCTCTCTGGAAATGTCACTGAAGCATCGATGGCCAGTTTAATCACGCAAGGACAACTATCTTACTTACTTAGATGTCTGAGCCTTAAAATCATAGACAGCTGTTGCAGGCAGTTTCTAAAAAAGAAGGGAAACAATTAGCTTGGACCTTAAAATTTGGTTTTCCTACCCCCCGCACCAGGGGAAAAAAAGTACCATTTCACAAAAATTAAAGGTAACTAATAACTCAAGGCATGATTAAATGTACGTAATTTAAATCTTGTCTACAATTTGCATATAAGTTAGTTGGTTTTGCATTTAGATATTTTAATCTAGCCCAAGGATAAAAATAGAACAACAGAGACGATCTATCCGCTACAGCTATTGAATATCATAGTTCATGTTAGAAACTGGGGTAGGTGAATACCATGTAGGGGAGCGAAACACCTGCAGAGGATTTTCTCCTAGGTGTAATTCTGGCACTAACAAAAGCCTCTCCTGGGATAACTGCGGGGGGCCAGTTACTCTACTTTCTCTCCTTTGGCACAATCCCTCCTCCTGAATCATGACAAACAGACCGGACACTGCTAAGGTTCTCACCCCCTTTGCTAAACACACATTAAAACCTTAGCAAAGAAACACTAGTCCACTTGTCATTGGGAGCCCAGTTGCTGGCCAAGGTGTAGGTGTGATCTTGCATTCATTCCCCAGAGGCTTCAGGAATTCTTCAGCACGTGGCGACCAGCTGCTGGAAATTTAGTCATGATGTGAGGGACCTGTGCCCACTGGGAATCAGGGGAGCCCACAGATTGCCTGTGCCCTCTGGCAACCACACCATATTATGCTCCTCCCTTCAGAAAAGCTCTCCGCCCTCTTCTGGTGAATCTTAGGAAACCAGGACCAAACCGAACCTCATCCCTGATTTATTCGTGGTTCTTCAGGCACTGGGCTCTCTCAGGCCCCGTGGGGAACCTCGCGGTGTGTCTTTGAGTCCATCACACCTTTGTGGTAGGAGAACGCTAACCCTGCTTCTGGGGCTAAGGACGAAGAGCAAGGATTGGTGTCATGGAGAGCTGGCGGGTTAGCAGATCTTTGGGCCTCCGTTGTCAAACGTGCGCCAGAAAATATTAGATGGAATTTTTATTGGTTTGCAACCTTGTTGATCCAGAGCTGTCCTCTAGGACATTGGAGCAGACATTTTTACAGCCCCACCGCCTCTTCTGGTGAGGTGGCTTAGCTTAGGATGTTACGGACACAACCATTAACTCATGGAGAGACCACAGAGCCCAAACTGGGTCACAACTGGGGCAAATGTGGGGCTAGGGTCAGTGTGAAAACTCTTTTGCACCCAGCCCTTAGCTTCCAGGGTGTACTCTAGGTTCTTGGCTGTTATTTTAATATTTTTTAGACCAGATATTATACTGGATTTGGAAGGTAACTTTGGCTCCTGGAAAGTGCTTTATGCTGTTTAAAGAGCCTTGTGTGCTACTGAACACATACCTCTTTGTCTGGAGTTCCTCTTCTTTCCCTTGATGCACTTCTCCCCAAGTCAGTCCACGTGGACGAGTAACCTCTAGGGGACTCTCGGTCTATTGGGAAAGACAGAGCCAGTTAGAAAGAGCACCCAATAATGAAAGTAGACATGGTTAGCCCGTTTCCCCGGTGGCTACTACTTTCCTCGAACATTTGGAGAGACACCACAGATGAAAGGAGGAGGAGGAGGCAGTTCATGAAGTTGGGAGAGAGGACCATGAAAACAAGACCATTTCAAACGGATACATATCTGAGATTGCAGATAATGATATAGCACCACCCAGGGCAGCCAATTCATGGCTGTAGATATTTTGCCTTTCAAAGATTTCTTTTTCATTTCTATTCTTTTAGCCATCAATTACTAATTACTATTATAAGGCATATAAACCCAAACCACCAGTTGCCATTGAGTTAGTTGTTGCTCATGATGACCCTATGTTTGTCATGGCAGAACTGGGCTCCATGGGGTTTCCAGTTCTGGGAAGGAGCCTGAGTGGGGCTGTGGTTATGTGCTGGCCTGTTGACTGCAAGGTCAGCACTTCCAGCCCACTCCAAGGGAGAACAATGAGGCTTTCTGCTCTTGCCAAGATCTTCGACCTTGGAAACCCATAGGGGCAATTCTTCCCTGTGGTATAGGGTCATGATGAGTCAGAATCTAGTTCAATGACAATGAATTTGGTTTGGTGACCTTCTGGAAGTAGATTGCCACCCTTTCTTTGAGGTACCTCTGGGTGGATTTGAACTGCTAACCTTTTGGTTAGTGGCCAACTAGAGAACAGACAATTTGAAAATAGCAACGACTTATACACATGGAAAGAGTTTTGTGGAACTACAATGCAGAATGTAGCAATGAAAAAGATAGACAAAAGTAAAGAAAATGATGACAAACTATAATTATAATGATACTCTTTCTGTTTTTACATACTTACAGACAAGCTGTCACACTCTATGGCTTACTTGTACCCGGCTGATAAGCTATATTATCAGAAAGTAAATGTTTATCCTCAGGACAAAGTGATAAAAGAAAAGAAAAATAATGTAAAGAGAAGAAGCCTGTCAATTTAAAAATTATTTGTGAAATATTGAATTGTTTTCTTCCTACCATGAACCAAACCATAAATAATCAATTGCATTACAAAAGTATGACTCCAGGTATTTCTTAGCAGTATCTTACACTTCCTGCATTTATGTGACATATATTAAAATGTAACTAGAGATTTAAAATATTCTGTTATAGAATTTTACCACTGCCATTAAGTCAAACTTAAACTATTTATTTCACCCCCTTGAATAAACTTAGTCATATTGAAAATCAAAAAGCTTGAAGAATAAAATTACTATGTTCATCTGTGGAGTAATTAAAAAATGCTGATTCATTAAACAACAACCACTACCAAAATCTTGTTCAAGGCTTTGATTACTTTAAGAATGAATTGACTCCCATCCATTACCATCCCGCCCTTCTAGAAAGTGGAATATTGGTGACATCAAAAGTATCCAACTCTCCGGGAACTGATTTGAAGATCTTCCAACATCTTTCAATGCCAGAAAGTAACATGGTCACAAGCATCTCAGGTAAAATTTATCCACTTATTTTCAAGATTCTGAGTGGCATATTTTTCATTCTAAATTAATGCAACATTAGGGAACCCTGGTGGTACTGTGAGATCAGCATTGGGCTGTTGTACGTTCAACATCCACCAGATGCTCTGTGGGCAATCAATCTGCTCTCGCGTCCCAGACAAGGTCACTGTCAGTAGGAACTGACTTAATGGCAACGGATTTGTTTGGGGAATAATCTTTAGTCTCTAATAGTGGTCACAAATTTTAAATTCTACTTAGTCTATGTGACTATAAACTATTTTTCACTTGGACAAAGCACAATTGGAAAGTATATATTTTGTTAAACTATATAAAATTAAATATATTTAAAAGTCCTCTCAAATCCTATCTCAACAGCAGAGCCTTATCTGCACAGGAAATTGAGAATTTAGGCTTAATTGAGTAATTACTAGGAAATTGAGTATAAAGATACTGAAAACTAGATAAAAGGCAATATATGTACATATCAAAAGGTTCTGACGTCTCAGTTGTGGAAAGTTCCCAACTGAAGAAATTCATTTTAAAAATTCCAAGGTATTATTTTTGAAGCATGTGCCATAGTATAAAATAAAAAGATACATGTGAATACTTTAAAATTATAATTGCCCATTTGTCTGTATGTATACTTCCAGCTAAGATTCCTATGATAGCTTTTCCCCTTTGAGATGGTATTTTATGTTTCAAAGTCTCAACTGTTGGGCTCGGGGATCCTGCTTCTATCCTCTGCTTTCTCTGTGGCCTTGGGCACATTTCTTGTCCTCCCTGAACCTCCCTTTCTCCAATAAGACAGCACTTGCAGCACCTGCCACCAGGTCCGCGCCAGCTTTACATTAGCAGTGGAGGCAAAGCATTTTGCGCTGTTTGGTGTGCGTGTCGAGATGGTAGTCTGTTGGGGATTCTTGCCTCAGCCTGGCATGTTCACTCCAGCTTCTACACATTGACACAGTCCACAGATGCACTTCACTAATTAATCAAAAGAATTAGATATACATATAAGAGACTTTATATTGTGCAGTTAAATAAACCTCGAAAACAAAACAAAAAGATGTGCTCTGCAGTTGAACCATGATTTGCCCCCGGCTACACTGGAAGCAAGAATCTGTCTGTGAATAGGCAGAGGGACTCTAACGATCGAATTCTTCTATCAACATGGAATTGTTTCACTAGAAGCAAACAATGAATAACCTAAGTGATGGAAAAGACGAGAACGTGGGTGATGAAAATAGGGCTTTTATGAACGCAGCTTAAAGATATATTCACAAAAATTTTACCCCAAATGTGTCCTTTACATGGAGTTCATCGCGAACTGAACCCCACCTTCTGTAGGTACCCACTGGGCACTTCATTTCAGAGGGGCTCTAGGGTAGGCATTAAACTGCTGGCCCCAACACTGGTGGTTCAAAGGCACCAGCCACTCCGACGTTCAGTCCCATAAAGAAGTACAGCCTCTGAAACCCTCGAGAGGGTCTCCAGGCGTCTGAGTCAACTCGATGGCAGTGGGGTACATTTGCCACATCTTTTTGGTTTCCCTCTTGAGGGTTTGGATCTTCTATCTAGATGTGAGCAAATTATTTATACTGAGTGAATAAGGCTAATAGAAAAGACAAAGAAGAGGCTATCTGTTAGACTATCAACTTAGGATCACCACACAACGAACAAGAACAAACGCCAAGGTTTTAGTCTCTTAAGGTATTGAAATTCAGTGAGTATTACTGTATTGAAATATTCTTTTGAATTAGGTAAATGGTTTCCTTTGCTATCTTGGTGCGCATAGCTGTTGTTTCAACCCTAACATTAAGTGACACATGGTTTCTCTCTGTAGTGAGTAAAATTTTGTGAATTGATGATTAAGCCACACATGGAGTCCAACGATCATGTGAGTACATGAGAACTAGTCAGGAAAACACGCTCGCACAACAAGCAACCGCGTCACAACACACAGTGGTGCCCAATGGCCTCGCAGCTCAGGAATGGTGTGATGCAGGAATGGGACATGAAAGGGCCGGAGGCTAAGTACGCCAACCAGAGGGGAAAGAAAGAAAAGCTCATCCACCTTGGAGGCTCGGGGCGCTATCGTGGTCGGGGTGCTGGTAGCTGCTGTGGGTGGCGTCCACGTCTTGGAAAGAGGCACTGTGAGGCATTCTCCCACCATCGTTCTGGTACAGTGGACCGTGGGTAGCACCATCGGGAGGCAGTGGGTGTAAAGGGTGGTGCGGGGGGCTCCTTTTGAGAGCTCCAAGGGATGAATTCCTCTCAGGGACGTCGGGCAGCAGCTCACTAATGAGGCGGTGCAAGATGCTGTTGTCCGGCAAGCTCCCCCTTCTCTTCTCGGCTCTAATTTGGTCACAGATGTCTTTAAGGGCGGAGTCCAGAGCCTCAATCACGGATGCCTTGCACTTGGCCTTTTCAGGCTGCTTTGGGGGAGTTGGGTTTTTTTTCCTCCGGAAAGGCACAGGACTGACTAGGAACGCCAGTTTAGAAAGGCCGGGGTCCAGCTCTCGTCTCCGGGGCTCGTCGGGGTCCTGCTTGGCGCGTTCGTGCTTCAGCATGGTGGTGAAGCGCGTGTAGGAGGCGGGGCACCGGCCTTTGCAGGAGCTGAAGAGGTGCCGGTGGTGGTGGTGGTGGTGATGGTGGTGGTGGTGGTGGCTGGCTCCGTAAAAGCTGTCCGAGGAGGTGAACGAAAAGTGATCGAAGTCGCTCTCGCTGCAGAAGGACGATCCGTCCACGTGAATGAAGTCCCCGTGGTCGGACACCAAGCCGTCTTGGTCGCTGTCGGAAAACTCCGCTGGCGCTCGGGGCGGCTCGTCGCTGGTGACTTCGATGTGGATGGGCACCGGCGCTTGCGGCTGGTAGATGCGCCGGACCTGAGAAGGGTGTCTGCTCGGGGTCTCTTCCTCCAGCAGAGACTCGATGGAGAAGCGCCGTTGGGGGCAGAGGCCGTTCTGGGGCAGCTCCAGGGTCACGGGCGACAGCATTTCGTCTCCCAAGTTGGGCATTGACTTTGACTTCTGGATCAGCTTCTCGAATTCGGAAATGCGCGTGGGCACCATGTCCCTGGGCACCTCCTCCGTGGAGGACTGGCTCCAGCCCTGCAGGAGGCCCTGGGGCCGCGGCGCCCTCTCGTACTGCAGGACCCGCGACCTCACCGAGCACAGCACCTCGGAGGTCAGCAAGTCCTGGCGGTTGATGCGGTGCATTTTCTTGTACATCTTCAGGAAGCCGGGGGCGTCGTGCGCCGCGCGGTGTCTCGCCCGCGATCGGCCGGGGGTGCGAGCCTCCTGCGCGTAGGGGGCCGCCCACGGGAGGGGACAGCCCCCCTGGGGGTCCTGCTCACCCACCAGGGAGCCCAAGCTCTCCGACTTGGTTTTGGGGTCGGGGAAGCTGTCGCAGTCGTCGTTCAGGAGGTCGTCGCAACTGCGGGATTTGATTTTGGGGGGCACCGTGTCTTCGGTGCTGCTCCAGATCTCCGCGTTTTGCCGGGCCATTTGCCAGCCGTTCTTGAAAGTAATGGCCCTGGGCGAGTCCCGCGGGACCTCCAAATGCTGTCTGTACGGGTTACCGTAATCGAGCTCCCTCGAAGGGGTGCCGCGGGGCCCTGAGCAACTGCAAAGGGATGGACACAGGGTGCTATCATCCCCACCTTTGAATCCGGAGAGCAGCGTGGTAGAAGAGAGACACGGTGAGAAGGTTAAAAGGTTCACAAAGAGCAGACCGTCAGTAAGCATCAGACAGCAGAGAAAAGAGAATGCCGTTAGTGTGGCTTATTAGAGACACCAATTGTTATGAACGAAGCTTCGGCTTCAGAGGGGGGTGGGGGTGGGGGGACCAAACAGGCATACTTCTCAAGAACAAGAGTTTTTAGATGAATGTAGACTTGCCGATATTAGCGTTAACAAGATCATGGGTCACAAGTAATTAGCATCTCTAATACATTTCTTTCTAGTTGAGTAGAGTTGATCCGTCTTTCTATAACAAAATCACAACAGCACCTCGTAAGCTAAGAAAGGCATGATCTCGTAATAACGTCAATGGTGAATGATTAAGTTAAAAGTATTCTAGACTCAGTGTAGCAGGGTCAGACCTTGGGTCTGATCTGGTTCATAATAACCATTAGGTAAAGAGTAATTGATATACTTTTATGTTATTAACAATTCCATCACTATATTAAGCATGTTTTCATGAACATTGGATAGAAAAAGCTGTAAGATAAAATAGTCTCAAATTATTTGGCAAATGACCAAATTATGCTGTCATAGGCTCGTCTTCCCAGAAAGATGAGCAGGACTTCTGCACACCAGTCACGCTTTCACTACAGCGCTCTACCTTCAGCCTTACCATGAGAGCTGGGTCTCACATAAGGCTTTCATCAGAAGTACGTGCATCTTGCTTTCTGTCAGGTTCTCCCCTCCCCCGCCTTTGAATTTTATGTAAGTTGATAGCAGTGAACGAAATTCGATTTGAACTTGAAATATCTATCAGCGCCCTAAGTTAACATAACATTGGGGAAGTTAACTCTATGAAATGAGAAGGAAAGATCATATATATATATATACTGGTAGATGAAATATATATTTGCTTTTTTTGTTTTTAGTATATGTTCTTCTTGAAATGAAACCTATTCAGGAGAATCCTTCTATAGAAACCTCATGCCTTGTAATCTTTTCCGTATTCTCCCTAAGTCCATACACAGATAGGAAGTTAACAGGTCTTACTAGAAGATAAATCCTTTGTCAATTTGGGTAGTGTCCAAGCATAGGGAATCAGTGGTATTTTATGACTATTTCTAATCGTAAGATCTATTTCTTATTTTAAGATACGGGTTTGTAAGATCTATTTCTTATTTTAAGATACGGGTTTGTACCAATGTGTAGAATCAGATCGATTCAGGCCGCATAGAGAAAAGGCTTGGTGATGTCTAAACGTTATGGCGATGGCGAGAAGCTAGTGAGTTGCTATTTATGGACACTGTTATATGCTACAGAACGTGGCCCTACTATGTGAGAGCACGTCAAAGAGTATTGCTGCAAAGCGGTGGGAAAGTGTAAAAAACACAAATATCAAACTGTGGCGCTATTATTTCTGACATGGACTCCCTCTAAGTCTGTACATTTCTGAAAGTGGTGTTCTCCCCAAAGGAATTCTGCGCTCCTTGATTGACACCACCTCAAAACAGCGACTCAAGTTGTGTGCCTTTCAAAAACTCTTTGAATTGGTAGAATAAAAAGACGTTTGAAGGGGCGAGGTCAGGCTGTAGAGTGGAAGGTGGAAGCTTTCCCAATGACGTTCTAGCAGCAAAGCCCCTGCTACCCTTGAAGAACAAGCATCTGCGCTGTTGTCGTGGGAAAACATTCTTCCACACAACTTTGCTGGCCTGTTTCTCATCAATGCGGTTTTCAATTCTATGAAACCTTCTATGTGAGAAGCCTCCATGGTCATCCTGTATCCTTTGAGAAAATCAATCAAGATAACACTTTGGAATTTAACAAACAAACAAACAAACAAAAAAACAGTTGCCGTAAACTTCTGCACTGCCCGCCCTGCCTTGGAATCGGTTTTGAGGTCCAGACTCAACACCAGTGGGTACAGGGACGAAGAAAAGCTCGAAGTTGACTGAGGCAGTGACCGCACGCACGGCCTTTCTTGATATGACTGGACTACTCAAGTGTATGATTGATGTGCTAATTATAATTCAATTATACATGCTTGAATATCTAAAATTGTTGTTTTATGGGGGGCAACATTCCTCCGTAAGAGTATAATTTCTTTTGAAGATTCCCTAAAGAAACTACTGAAAGAGCTTGTCGGAAGCCACCCATTGATGACAGGGACATGTTTAAACATGTTTCTAAATTGGAACCCCAAGAGCAATGATTATGACTTACCTGCACATATGTGAATGTTGACAGAAATCATAGAGAAAATAATTCAAGAAATACTTTTAGTAGGTTAGACAACTTTAAATCTAGATCAAAATCATTTAAAAAATGGAATTGTGCTTCTGGCAATAGTTTGCTCTGCTGCACCTCTGAGTTCCCATTCTATAAACTTGATGCATTGCTTCAGCTGTAACATTGGAAAACTTGGGCAATATGTGAATGCTTATGAATGTCAACTTTTAAAATAGCTTGATAATGCATTGTTGCTAGGATTGTTAATTTGTTCAGAGACAAACAAGTGATATGGTTATGAAAGAGACATTAACACATGCCCAACAGGGAGGCCTTTAGGCAGACCAAATGGCTCACCATCGGCTTGGTTTACTCTGAGGAAGACCAAGCCTGTTTTCCGGAAGCTGTACTTTATTCGAGACATGGCATTTAAATGCTAGCACACCTCATTCTCGCTGGGGCAGCCCTCACATGATATCCCGAGTTAAAACTTAAACTTAGAAAATTGCTTGCATGTCAACTAACTGCTGCTCACCTTTTGTTCTGGATGGGGAAGACGGAGAAGAGCTAATGAAGGACTTTGTGAGGGTGGCGCTTGAGCCTGGGAGGTCCCCCCGACTGGGGCTCATCCTGCTGGCGCTGGGGTCCCCGAGGCCCCTCGGTGGGCCCACGGCAGGCTCGCTCTTCCTCCTTTTCCTAAAGTCGCTGGCCATACTTGCAGAACTGAAAGAAAGCGTCCGCATGCATCTGCTTGATATTGTGGCAGGTTACCGAGGGAACACTTCCCTGGGCAGTGCATAGGGTTTGCACTCAGTACTAGCCTAAAGGTAGGCAGTTTGAACCCACCTAACGACACTGCAAAATCAAGGCCTGATGATCCACTGATATAAAGATGATAGAAAAGAGGATCCCATGCAGAACAGCCCTACACGGTAACATGTGGGCTCACCAGGAGTTGAAATAAACTTGATGGCGATGGGCCTTACTACACGCACCAGACAGACGAGTGGAATGTGCTCAGGCCAGTGTTCTAACCCCTGTCTCCCAGACCCTGAACTGAATAGTGTTGTCCAATAAGTGTTGAGCTGCAAGGTGGGTGATACAAACCCACCAGCCACTCCGAGGCAGAAAGATGAGGCTTTTTGCTCCCATAAAGATTTTTAGCCTCATCAGAAAAGAGTAGCATCTAGAACCTTAAAGGCAGGCTTGTCTTAAAACAAGCAGCTATCTAAGCGAAGCATCAATCAAGTCCACATGGAAGAAGCACACTGGCCTGGGTGATTCCAGGATTGTAAGCAATCAAATCTAAATCTAAAGGAGGGAATGGTATCAGAGCTTGAATTGTGAACACCCAGTTTGCAGAAGGTTATGGATGACAGTGGAAGCCCCAAAATCCACTATCAGAGTCCCCACATGGATTAAGTCTCCTGTGAATCTCCTCTGCCCACAGTAGAGGGGTGTGAATAGTCTTGCTAGCACACAAAGAGCGTTGTAAAGTTGATGGCAGATGTAGTTAGATTAAAATAGAATACCTTGTCATGTAATCACCCTTTTGACCCTTACATAAATTATTTCAGTATTTAATATTTTTTGCTTTCTTTTTTTGATTGAGGTTTTTCTAAGTTTTGCGTCGTCATTGTTATTGAGCCTTTTGGTCCATTTGCTTGCTTCCTCTTTGTGTTGTGTCTCATTTTCTATATCTGACATTCAGGGTCAAAAACCAAACTCACTGCTATCCAGTGAATGCTGTCTCATAGTGACCCCCGTGGGTTTCTGAGACTGCAAATGTTTACGAAAGTAGAAAGCCCGGTCTTTTTTCCTGTGGAGCTGCTGGTGGTTTCAAACTGCCAGTCCAACATGTAACCACTCCACCACCAGGGCGCCTCTGAAATCCTGGATAGGTAGATGTACAGAGACAGTAACTGGATAGGGGTATGACCGGAGAGGCGAGGGGGAAACGGGGAGCTAACAATGAGTATGAGAAGGAAATGTTCTGAAATTGATTGAGGTGATGATTGCACAGATTTTAATGTGATTGAAAGATTAAATTATATGATATGGGAAGCCTATGTCAATAAAACTATTAAAAACTTTTATAGTAAAATATGACGATAAAAATAATTTATAAATTATCAGAGGGCCATGAGGGTGGAAAGGTGGGGGAGGGAGGGGGAATAAAGAGGAGCTGATTCCAAGGACTCAGGAAGAAAGCAAATGTTTTGGAAATGATGATGGAAACAAATGTACAAATGTGCTTGATACAATGGATGTAGGCATTGTTATAAGAGCTGTGTGAGCCCCCAACCCAGTGATATATTAAAATTAAAAACAAAAACCTGTATAGCCTCTGAAACTCTAAATGGGTCAGTATGAGTCATAATCAAGTCAACGGCAGTGTGGCCGCCATGGGGTAACCTTTCACACACAGCACCATTCCTTTATCATCTTTTAAAGTCAGCATCCTTCTATGATTGTAATGTGCTGTGACGGACAGTTCAGGGTAGTCATTTGCATTACGTGTCAAAACGTTTCTCTGTTAGGGAGAGTTCTGACAACAGGAATATACCCACGGAAGCGCACAAACGGCGGCTCTCGCTCCTGCCATTGAGCCGATCCCGACTGCCAGGGACTGGGTAGGGCAGAGCAGAACTGCACCCGTCGCTGCTTTCTGACACTGTTAAGAGTTTCGGGTGTTATCAGCCCAATGCGCTCCCAGAACTGGATGACAGAGGCAAAAACTCTGGTGATCCAAATGTCTCTCTACCTCACAGCCTAACTCCCTGCCACGGATTGAATTCTCCCTCATAGCGACCCTCTAGGACATCTTGTCTTCAGGAAATTATGCACACCCACCCTAATCATTATATTTAAGGAGCACTTCCCAATTCTAAAGGCAATTACTGTGATCCTCGAATGGCAAAGAAAACAAATTAAGGTGCGTTTTTTATCCATTGGTTCTCCTATGATCATTCACAGGTTTCTCATCAAATTACCCTGCTAGGGACAGGAGATGGGCAGACCAGACTCAACACCTAGCTGCTGCCTCCCACAATTCCATGCGGAGACAGAGATGTTGGTTGTGCTCCTAATGGTATCTCAGGCACCCAGTCCATGTTTGCCACAGAAAACTCCAAACCCAAACTCCCTGCCAAGCAGGCAGTTGTAACTCACAGCTACCCAACAGGGTAGAACTGCCCCTGGGGGTTTCTGAGACTGTAACTCTTTATGGGAGTAGAAAATCTTATTTTCACCCATGGAGTGGCTGGTGGTTTTGAACTGCTGACTTTGTGGTTAGCAGCCTAATCACAAAACTGCTTTGGAAAACCTTAAACTGGAATCCTAACTTTTTAGATTTAGGTAATGAATGACAAAACACTGGGTCAGCAAAGAGACTACTGAAGAATCCATTTTCCAATTGCAAACCATGTTATCTTGGCAATCGGAAACAGCAGGGTTTACCTGTAGTG